ATGTAGTCCAGTTGTCGAGACTCACGGGGAGAGTACTTGTCAGAAGGAGAGCTTAACGAGAAAGTGAGCGGTTTATGGTCCGTGAAAAGAGTGAATTCACGGCCTTCGATATAGTGTTGGAAATGCCGTACAGCACAATACATAGCTAGGAGTTCCCTACCGAATGTGCTGTACCTCGATTCGGTGTCTAGCAACCTTCTAGAGAAAAATGCCAAGGGTTGCCAGGAGTTGTTAACCCATTGTTGTAAGACTCCTCCGATTGCTGAGTCGGATGCGTCTACTGCGATGCTAATGGGTGCTCGGGTGTCCTGATGTGCGAGCATTGTTGCTTTAGCAATCAGTTCCTTGACTGTGGAGAATGCTTTTCGTGCGGTGTCGTCCAAATTAATGGATTTCGCATTTCCACGAAGTTGGTCGGTCAGAGGTTTCATAAGTGATGCGCATCTGGGTATGAAACGTCTATAGAAACTTACCAGGCCGTTGAACGTGCGTAATTGCTTGACGGTGGTCGGTTCTGGGTAATCCAGAATGGCCGCCACTTTGGTTCTAAGGGGTCGGATACCTTGAGCATCGATAGTGTGTCCCAGAAAGTCTAACGAGTCGGTTCCAAATTGGCATTTCTGAACGTTTACAGTTATGCCATGTTTTTGTAATCGTTCGAAAACAAGGTCCAGATGCTTGAGATGTGTTTCTCTGTCCGGACTTGCGATTAGACAGTCGTCAACATACGCGTGTACGAAGTTGAGACCTCGAAAAACGTCGTCTATGAATCTTTGGAATGTTTGAGCAGCATTCCTTAGACCGAAAGGCATTCGCAAAAATTCATAGAGTCCGAAGGGAGTTATGATAGCCGTTTTCGGTATGTCGTCAGTAGCCATAGGGATTTGGTTATACGCTTTAACCAAGTCGATTTTCGAAAAGACAGTTGTACCTTTCAAGGTAGCTGTCAAATCGTGAATGTGAGGCAACGGGTAACGATCGGGAATGGTTTTCGCGTTCAATCGCCGATAGTCACCAGTTGGACGCCAATCGTTGCTGTCCTTTTTAGGGACCATGTGCAACGGAGATGCATATGGGCTACTTGACGGTCGTATGATTCCTAAGTCCATCATGTGATCGAATTCGTTTTTCGCTAACCTTAGCTTTTCAGGAGCTAGTCGTCGTGCTTTAGAGAATACAGGTGGTCCTGTAGTCGTGATGTGATGTGTAACATTGCTGGTTACACACGGTAGTTTCGGTTGAGTTTGTTGTATCCCAGGGTACTTATCGAGTAGTGGTTGATAGAGTGGGTCTATCATATGTTTAACTGTGACTGGGGATACTCTACAACCAGTAAAAGAAGTTACGCAAACGGACAAATTAGTGTTTCCGTCTACTAGCCTCCGTTTGCGAGTGTCGATGATCAGATTGTGGTGTTGTAGAAGGTCCATACCAATGATTGGCATAGAAACATCTGCAACGACGAAAATCCAGTGGATGGGTTTGCGTAAACCCACGTTAAGGTAAACGTACCTTTTGCCATACGTAGCGATCGGTTTTCCGTTTGCCGCCTGTAAGTTTAGGGTCGATTCGTGAAGTCGGTCGTTAGGATTTGCTGGGAGAACGCTAACTTCTGCGCCAGTGTCGACGAGGTAGCGAACTCTCGTTGTCACATCTGTGACGAATAACAGACGGCTTTGTTCGCCGGCTACGGTTGCCGTTAACGCGTGCCGGCTTGGAAGTTTCCCGAATCAGTCGGTTTCGTGTTGGGAAAATTGCAGGGTTTTCTGCAATTTCTGGAAAACTTTCCATACTGGTTATGATACCAGCACCAGTCGGGGTTATCTGTCTCTCGTGGTCTAGAGACAGATCGCTTACGAGAAATGCTTCTACGTGGTGTGCGCGATCTCTTACGGTCGGTACGAAGACTAAGATAACGCGTGAGTGTGTGACATAAGTCGGTTATGTCATTCTGAGTCGTGTGAGGCTTTTCTTTGACTGAAAATACCTCGGTAGTAGAAGGTTTCGTAATTTCTAGAATGCGGTCGGCAGATACAGCTAGTTCGTCTAAGGCGTTGTTCTGGAACGAGACCAGAACTGCTTGCACCTGTTGGGGAAGTTTTGACAAGAAGAGTTGTTTGAATAGACCTTCGTCGAAAGTTCTTGGGCCTATAACCTCTCTCATCCGTTGCAACATGTCCGTCGCAGAACCGTGTTGCAGGTCGATATTGTTGAAGAGTTGATCTAACCTTTGTCGATCGGTTAGGTCTCCTCGTTTAAGAATCGAGCGTTTTAAGATTTCGTAAGGATCGGAAACATCACTAGTAAACATACTAGGTGTTACGTACCTGTTGAATTCCCGCGGCAGTGCCTTGACTACTGCGAGGAATTGTGCACGTGTGTCGATCACGCCGTGCTCGGAAAAGTCGGCTTCTGCGTAGCAAAACCAGGCTTCGATGTTGTCGGGCCAGAAAGGCATCAGTTGAAACGAAGGTGGGGACAAGGTCTTAAGCTTGAGTACTTTAGGTGTCTGTTCAGTCATGATGAAATATGAAGTACGATAATGAACGAGGGGAAAATATATATATATATCCAAGAAAAACACGAAAAAAAATCACAATGTTTAAAAAAAATAAAAAATAAGGCAATGATATATAAAAATCCCAAAAAGGAACAGACTCACAGTTGCAATAAGGTGTACCAGATCACGACGGTCTCACCAATGATGATGTCACAGGTATTCAGTGTTTCACAACGCTTCTACCAGTAACACCTTCTAATATGTTTCGTTCCCACCAAGAGAAATCAAAAGACAGAGTCGAGGAGATCGGAAGAGTATATTTGGCGATGACCAATATACCGGGATTCTCTGATCTAATCTGGCTAGCGATTGTGGTTGATGTTGAGCACGGCGTTACTACACGTGATCTGGTGCGGATGCCTGACCGAGCGCCTTCAGCTAGATGAGTCCACTAAAACATATGGTCAGCATCCAATGTCGAAAACTTACAGTGCTATTTATTTTGGGGATTTATTTACCGCTACAATGCTGATTTATCACGCAAAATACCTCTTTAAATCGTGTTACGAACGTTGAATTGGTTTCACTTCCTACCCAGAAATCCTATTACAAGCAAACTAGACAATTCGATAGTATACGAAGCCTACTCAAGACCCTATAATACCTGAAAAAAATAATAATACAAAAAAAACGAAAGGGGCTCTAATAGCTTCGATAACAAAAGGATAGCCAATTGTATATCACAATACTGTTTCTAGCACTAGATTTTATTTTATAATCATACCTTGAACATTCCTTCATGAATGTTGGCTACTATGCCCCTCGTGTTTTCTTTTACTTGCTCCCTCTTTCAGCCCCCTTGAGATATGGAACGGGTGACTTCATCCTGCACCATCCTTAAAGCCTTGGATATTCTAAAGGGACATGAGGTTGCGATTTCTAGAAGCTCATACCTTCAATGGACCTATCCTTGACCACCAGTCGCACATTTGCAACGCAACTTTCATGAAGCGCGCTAACTGTAGAACTGCTTAAAACCATCTACTTTCATATCTCATAAATTATCAACCCAGCTATGTAATTTACTACAGTGAATATTGTATCATTTGTATCAATTTGATCTTGCCTGTAAACTGGCATGCCTCATGTAACAAACTCTTATTTGAGAATAAACTATTATTATTATTATTATTATTAATATAACTTCCACAACACCCAATCAAGAAGTCCAATTCCAAGTAGTCACAACAAAATTGTATTGGATAATTATGACAGATTAAAAGACAACAAAAAACATTTAACTGTACAGTAATTATATTGTCCGATTACCACAACTGACACAGACTGTTTGTCTGTCCACGTGTCTATAATGTGCTCTTAGTTCATTGTAATTGTAATTGTCAGATCCTCTCTATTGTTCAAAATTCTTATCCTCGCTTTCTTCGCTTATCTGAAATCAGCATTTATCTACAGAGTCATCATTATTCAGGGAATCATCGGTGTCCAAATTGCAACTACCTGTCTCAAGTTCACAATTATCTACACCATAAAAAAATTTAGTTAAACACAAAACAGAACTAAAATTAAAATCACTTACTTCATTAGCTTCCACTTGTTACACGTGTCCGCTATCAACTGAATGATCAGTTCAATCAACAACCACTATCATCCGATTACTCATACTCTGAATTATAATTCCCGTAGATGGTCGATAGCCTCACTCACTTGTTCAAAATCGCGCGGATAACTGTACTGATAGATGGACTTTCTCACCTCGACAGAAACTGCCAAAACAGTGTGGCCGATGCCAATGAGTTGAGAAACACCCCACGAAAATACTCTCACAGCATCGGACACATCCAGAGGTGCCTTGGTCAAGGTGACAACAACAACAACAACAACAGCAACAACAACTACAATAATAACAATCTACACTCGGACCAAAATTAGAGAACATACACGGATATGAAGGAGTCTACCAGGAAAACTGAATCTTCACTGGTAAGCATACACCCAGGATTAACACAGGTCATCTGACCTACTATTATTCTTATTACGGACGACTATACTGCATCCTCAAGGTCGACCGAATTCCCGTCTACTTGATGTTAAATTTAGTTCTCGTGAAAATGTCAGTCATATTCCAACCAGTCCGAAAGCAGTGTATGAACGAACCTGATCATCCTTCTTATCCTGAGATGTTTGTACAATGTCCACCTCTACTCTGACCATTTGCTTAATCTAAACTCACGTTTTTCATTCTTATTCCAGAATGAGATTATGCTCACCAAATCAGCCTTCATGACTAACGTAAATGGCTGACTGACTGTTGGGATATTCAGGAAAATATCTCAAAAATTATCCTGTTAAGACTCATGCTATCCTTGGACATGAAATGGTATCATCTTATTGGTCAATATTTATTTAACGTGTCATTTTCCTACTGGCCATTATTGTACAATGTTATTTTCTATTTTATGGGACGTTGTGGTCTGCTTGACTGGTATATAAACAAAGTATGTTTGAAATACAATGATTCATATCTCCGAGGCTGTGAATTGTGTTCTGGACTCAACTGGCTGGGTTAGATAGGGAAGCGAGACCAATCAGAACCCTAGGTCGTTCTACGTCTTTGTGCGTCTTTGGTCCGATCAATAATTCGCTACCCTTAATCCGCAGCATCATTTGCACTTTATAACAATTGGCGACGGGGTGAAGAAAAGATACAATCCAAAGTCATTCTGTAATTGGACGAAATCCAGTCTAATTATCCAACCAATCAATATCCAGATTGTCGTCAGTGTCCTTGAACCACATTGGTCATTAGTTATACAGTAATTTTCATCACAGGTGCTGATTCGAAAAAATGACTCTCCCTTCCGATCGATTACAGCTGCTCTTTGAACGACATTTGGACTTATTAGTCAAATTCCGCACGCAGCTGCTAAATCACTCATGCTATGAAGACGCGACGGAAGTGGATGGATTGATATCTCAAATACACAATGAGCTGGAAAATGACAGCAGCCTCCATGAATCCTCGATGAACTGTACTTCAAACGAAACAGTCATCCATGATGCGCCCAGTGGTCCAGCACTTTCTATCCCAGAAACATGCCCGGTAATGGAGTCAAACTCCATCATCCCTCAAACAGCATGTGCAGACAGCAACGTATCCAGCTCACGAAAAGATCCCATTGTTTTGTCAGAAAATATGTCCCATACATCAAATAGTGGTCAGAAATCTAATACAATTTTGATAGATGCTGTTTGTTTTAGTGACCTATTATCCACTAATGGAATTTTGAAGAGATCTGATGGAAATGCTTCACAAGAATCAAACCCTAATGACCTCATATATATTGTCGCTGATCCTCACCATCTAGTCAGTCCTAGTGGACTCTCTACTCAACGCGGGAAATATGCTTCGAATAGAGTCACATCAACTGTTCCTAGAGTATGTGAGGACCCAACATTATTTCGAGGGGGAGGATAGACGCGAGAAAAATTTAAAATCCAGACATCAACTCCGGATCTCCAAAAAAGGGAGGTGTTGGGATATTCAGGAAAATATCCCAAAAATTATCCTGTTAAGACTCATGCTATCCTTGGACATGAAATGGTATCATCTTATTGGTCAATATTTATTTAACGTGTCATTTTCCTACTGGCCATTATTGTACAATGTTATTTTCTATTTTATGGGACGTTGTGGTCTGCTTGACTGGTATATAAACAAAGTATGTTTGAAATACAATGATTCATATCTCCGAGGCTGTGAATTGTGTTCTGGACTCAACTGGCTGGGTTAGATAGGGAAGCGAGACCAATCAGAACCCTAGGTCGTTCTAAGTCTTTGTGCGCCTTTGGTTCGATCAATAATTCCCTACCCTTAATCCGCGGCATCATTTTCACAGTTATAACACTGACCAAAGTTTTCCGTCATTTTACTCCTTACTTTCATCATCCTTCTCATAAATGACATTGATTTCGAACATACATTCTTGATTGATTTACAGTCACGTGACTCGATTGACATTTTCTATTCAAATTTGAATGGAAATAGTTTAAACATATGTCAAGTCTATATAATATCAGTCTAGAGCGATGATAATCAGTTTGTAAAAACGCATTTGCTGAGCGGTCTAATTATATAACGCTCGCAAATAAGTGACTATATCTATGGACCGTCATATAGATTGTGGACAAAACTGTCTCAATGATTGCTATTACCACTATTTCTACTGCAACTACTACTACTACTGCTACCAATACTATCATTGTGATTACTACTACTATTACTACAATTATCACTATTACTGTTACTGCAACTGTTGTAATTATTATTATTATCACTATTCTACAAAAGAACCTACTGATTATGACAAACAAATAAAAGAAAGAAACACGGTTTCTCATGGAAGACGCACACCATCAGGCAGCAAAATGCCAAACAATGATTTGAAGCTATGCAAAACCCGGACATGTTTAAAACGTCCAGGCCAAGCAATCAAAAAGCCTGGACGTCATGTCCATTTTGTAATATAAAAAATGAAAATAAATTTTCTAACTATTCACATTTGTGTTTTTGATTGTTTCACCGGTCAATAGTGTATGGGGTATCGTACGTGTTACTGTGGGATGAATGTAAATCGCATGGAATTCTCATGAATAATAAATTCCAGGAAGTCGACCATGTCAGAGCACATATTCTAAGGAGTCTCGAGTACTGAGCGTTCACGACAGTATCTGATCTTGGATAAACAGGAGCAGCAATAGTAGAAATAGTGGTAGTAGTAGTAGTAGTAGTGGTAGTAGTAGTAGTAGTAGTGATATTATTAATACTATTATTGTTATTATTACGAATATTAACGTTAGTCAGTGAATTTCCTCCATGAATGGATGTTCATCATCTACTCTTATTGGATCACTTGATTTTATTTGTTTTTGCAACCACTTAGGTACATGTTCGCACACCCTGATTTGGAGATCACGATTACTCCTCCACATGTATATGTGGCCACACACACATTCAAATCGATAAACACAGTGGCATGTGACGCAATCGTTTCCATGTCTTTTACGTTTTTGCTGAGACATGGACATTGTTTTCTCTTTCATAAAGACCTTTGCTGCGTAATACGTCCTGTTAGCAACTTATTTAAGCCTTTGTTTCAGTAAAAAGCTATTTGAATCACCTCTAAATCGAAAAATGATGTAGACAGGTTTCTTTCTGCCAAGGTTATAGTAGGCCCCAGTATACCGTGACCTTTTCATCTATTTATGAATTTTAAGGGATAGCCAGTTTCCACTAGTGTTTTGTTTAACAACCTAACGTCCCCATCAATAGCGTCGTTTGTGCGAACACGATTAATTCTATTAAACAGACCGCTCATCGAACCTCATTTGTATTGCACCGGGTAGTAACTATTGTGACCAAGGTATTGGCCCGTCAACGTTGGTTTTCGAAAGATGGATCGTTTGCTTGAACCATCTTCTCGTCTACTTATTAGCATATCTAAGAAGAGAAGCCGATCATTCTTCTCCTCTTCACATGAAAGGCTGATGTGATTCTGCAGAGTGCTAAGTCTACTCAATAAACAATCCATATCGTTATTTCTTTCCCAGATAACTAAGATGTCATCTTCATATCTCTTATAAACAGACATGTTTACGACTAGGTCTTCAGCTAGATTTGCAACGTGTGTTATGAACACGTCTGCTAATAATGGTCTAATGGTCCTGTGGTGGACCAGACAAATATGAACGCAAAAAGTATAAACAAATTTACTAAAGATAAATAGTAATATTAATATATACAGTTAATTGTTACAAATACAATAAAAATTAGGGACGTTACTTAAATTGCCCAAAGGTTGCGTGTTCTGATTATGTCCAGTAATGTAAATCCACAATTATAAATGCTTGATGACTCTGAGCATGTTGGCGAACTCTCTAGCGATATAGTCCAACGTAGGATGTGATATATTCCGATTACAGTCTATAAATGTAGATAGTATTTGATTTAGACTTCCGTTAACTCAATCACAAATGGAAATAGAACGAGGAATGCGAGAGTAGTAATGTATTTGTTAACCCGCAAGAATGTCACGTTATGTAATAGCTCAACGGAAAGTGTCTTCAAGGTCATTTACTCAAACAACAGGTACAATCATTTAATGATAAATGTACATGCAGTGAGAAATTGGCAAAATAAATACAAATAATATTAAAAACTATTTACAAAATAAGCTTGTCAGGTCTATCTCCACATAGCTCCCCCCAGAGTGTCCGGAGGTAACACTGGTTACAATAACAATAAGAAAAATTTTATACAAAAAAATAATAATAATATTTACAATAATAACCAATTAACAATGTGGAGATGCGTATGACATGTACGTTAATAATTTATACAGTGTGTTATTGCGTGAAAATTTTTTTAGCGGTGATGTGCATAGCATGACAAACATAAAGTAATGAGAATACCGTCATTTAAAATCTTGGTTTGCTACCAATGATAATGTACAGAACTGTTACTGAACCAAAAAAAAATGAACTGCTTATTTTTGTGTACAACAAATGAATAATTAAATAGAGTTTACTCGTTTATTATTGTAACAAATTTTTTTCCATAAAAAAATGTGACAAAACGAATAATTGTGGGAAAATATGGTTAATTATGTACACTGTAGAAAAATTTTTTTAGATGGGATTGATAGTGTAGGTCCTCGATAATTGTTTGCTTTGATTGTTTTAGTTTTTTTTATATGGCAAAATGTACGTAACGCTTTGGTTTTTTTATAAGTCTCCCAGAACGTGTTAAACAAGAGGGTGTAGTGCTAAGTTTTTCCTCTTCCTCTTGTTTCTTAGCAATAGATGGGAGTGATTGTTTGTTCGCAGTATTGTCTTCTGTGTCATGAGGGACTTCGTAGAAAGCTGGTTTTATTCGGTCTATAGAAATTGTCTCATGGTTCCCATTTTTGTTGATAATGAAATATTTGTCAGTGCGTTTTATTACTTTATAAGGGCCTTCATATGGTGGTGTCAGTGGCTTTTTACCGCGTCTACTCGAACAAAAACAAATTTGCACGTTTCTAAATGTTTATCAAGATGGACTCGGTTGTCGTATTCTCGAGGTGGTATTGCTCTGATGCTCTGCATCATTTGTAGTAATCTGCTTACAAAGCGAGAAGGGTCTCCTGGTGTTGTGGGTTCATTCTTGACCAGTTGTCCTGGTAACGTTAATGTCGTGCCATAGACTAGTTCAGCGGCCGTGCATCCGATGTCTTCCTTTACAGACGAGCGAATCCCAAGGAGAACGAGCGGTAAAGCATCGCTCCATTTTGAAGGGTCCGGTTGTGCCATCAGAGAGCTTTTTAGTTGGCGATGGAATCTTTCAACCATGCCATTAGCTGCCGGATGATAAGCTGTCGTTTTAACATGATTTACTCCAAGAAGTTTAGTGAACTCGTTAAATAGAACGGATTGGAATTGGGGACCGCGATCTGTTGTGATTGTTGATGGTACGCCAAAGTTGGATATCCAGCGGTCGAGGAAAACTGAAGCCACTGTCTCTGCCGATGTGTCTTTAATGGGGCATGCTATGGCCCATCTTGTGAACCTATCTATTGCGGTGAGGATATGTGTGAAAGAGTTTGATGGTGGCAGAGGCCCAACTAAATCTAAATGCACGTGCTGGAAGCGTTTGTCAGGGATAGGGAACTTCCCAATTGGACTGTAGGTGTGTTTTTGCGTCTTACTGCGTTGGCACTGGAGACAGTTACGTGTCCAACGTTTAACATCCGAGTTGATTTTAGGCCACACAAAACGTTCGGTAATGAGCTTTGTTGTTGCTCTGATGCCTGGATGTGAAAGACCATGCAAATGCTGAAATATTTTTCGTCGGCAAGCATGTGGGACAAACGGACGATTGTTGCCTGTTGAAGTGTCGCACATGATGAATTCGTCTGAAAGGGGAATAGGTACAGGTTTGAGGTCTAAGCTAGACTTTTCTTTGCAGACTTTTAATTCTGCATCGTCTGCTTGTAATTTAGCCAAGGTTTCAAGGCTGATGTCATGATTGAGTACCATCGTATTGATATCCCTCCTAGATAGTGCGTCTGCAACAATGTTCGAGTGACCTTTGATAAACCTGATGTCTGTGGTAAATTGTGAGATATAATCAAGTTGTCTTGCTTCTCGTGGGGAGTGTTTGTCATACGATGTGCTAAAAGAATGGCAAAGGGGTTTATGATCTGTCATAATGATGAAATCACGACCCTGTAGCAAAAAGTTGAAATGTTTTACTGCTAAATACATAGCTAAGAGTTCGCGTCCAAAAGTACTATAACGTTCTTGTGCTGGCGATAATCTCTTGGAGAAAAAGGCAATGGGGGTAATCTTGTTGTTTACCCGCTGTTGTAATACTGCCCCGACGGCTTTTTGTGAAGCATCCGTGCACAGGATCAACAGTGTTGTGGGGTCAGTATTTAGGTGTTGGAGCATGGTAGCATTAGCAATCATGGATTTAGCTTTTTCAAATGCTACTTTGGCATCGGAAGGTAACTTGAATATTTGGTTCTTTTCTTTCTTGGTACCTGATTTATCGTTTTTCAGTAAATCTGTCAATGGCTGTAGTACATCGGCACAATTTGGTAGAAATCGTCGATAAAAATTACATGTTCCAAGAAAACGGCGTAGTGATTTTACTGAGGTTGGTTCTGG